GGCCCGGGACGGCTGCCGGAGGGGCGGCCGCGCGTGGATGCGGCGGGAGCCCGAAGCCTCGAGCAGCCGGCGCCGACTCTGCCCCCGGGCGCCCTATGGCTTGAAGGTAAGCACCGACCTGATAGAGTGGCAGGCGACTCGGGGGCCAGGCAGGGTCACAAGAAGACTGCGATCAGGACCAGGACCCGGACCAGAAGTTTGTCCGGCCACTCCGGAGCGCTAAGGGGGTGTTCGGAGCGCAGCGGCGGCCAGCTCGTCTCCTTCCACCCGCCCTGGCGGGAGTCCTTGCCCCCCGCACGCGCGTGCGGGCAGGGCAGTTTCTCGCGGAGCGCTGAGTGAGCCCCTCGGAGGGCAGCAGTTCGGACGACCTGGGAGAGCACTTCCACCCTGCAGCGGAGCTCGGGATCCTAAGGCATATAGGCAGTTTCCTACCACCCTAAAAGAAGAAGAAGGGTTGTTTTGAGCAGCTCTGTATTGGTGCCCAAATTGCCGAGACTTTTCAGTTTCAAAGGGCAAAAGCCAAGGGTGGGGGAGAAGGCTGTGCTCGCCCGCTTCCGGGTTTAACGCTGTCCTTGGTCCTGAATCTCTGTTCCCTTCTGGCCGGTCTCTGAGACCCATTTCGGGACCTGGGAGTGCGGGTGACGGTCGGGCAGTGACGGAGGCGACTGTCTAGCTCTAGAATGGACCATGAGCCCCGCTAAGTCGGAGTGTACAGACAAGAGGCAGCTCTGAGCTCCAGACAGACGGCATCCCATCCCTGTCTGTGGCAGGAAGCTTGTGAACGGATCCTCTTGAGGTGCAAAGGCAAGAGGGTGCCTGTGCGTCTACACAGCAGGCTTCACCATGGACACAAGTCACAGCGAAATACCTCCGTAGGGATCAACCCTTGCTCTCAGCCGCAGGGAAGCTGTCTGAGCAAGTCACTCTTGGCTCACCTGGCACTTTTGGTACTGGGCTTCCTGAGGGTAGGTGAGGTGCAAGGTATTTTGCAGGTTTCTCCTCAGATCCTTATGCACATCCAACCATTTCTGAATTTTGACCGGGCTGAAAACCTTTCAGGCTAATCTTTGCTCCTGTCTCAGGAACTAGGCATTCAGTGATCCTTCCCACCACCAGGTGCAAGCACTTGTGCTTATCCCTAATTCATCCTGCAGCGTGAGGACCACTTGACAAAGAAAGCATTCTTTTCATTTTTTTTCCCCGTATGCTGCTCTTTGGTGAGGGTGGGCAGAGAAAGGCCTTTGTGAAATGTGACCCATTCCGAGAATCAGCTAGCTGGCTTGTTGGGTTTCAACCTTTGCCTTGGACTTCTCTGCTTTGTGGTCAAAATACACGGCATATTTGTTTCCAGGGGATGTTGCTGCTACCTCTGGACTTAGACATCTGGGGTTTGGAAAGGTTAGGCCTCCCTAGTTCCCAATGAGGGTCATGGGCATCCCAGCCTTAGTCTCTGGAAAAATGTTCTGAGTTTCTTCCACCTTTCTCACACAGCCTGAGGATGAAAGGAGACTGGAAAATGGAGAAATTCTGGTCTGTTGTGGAGGTCCTAGGCAGCATTTCTGCAAGGGATTTTAAAAAATGAACTCCCTGCATCTGAATCATCTGGGAAGCTGTTAAAAATGCATATTCTTGCTTCTTCTCTAAAGAAATGCTGAGTGAGAATCTCAAGCTAAAGCCCAGGAGCTTATATTTTAACAATATTTCTGTATGGTTGGTATGTACACTGGGTTAGGGAATCACTTCTCATAAAAGTTCAGACTCCTTAGAGAATCTATGCATGTTTTAAAATTAAAGTATTTCATGTATACCATTCTTCCCTGAAGTTGTGCATGCTACATGCTTCAAGTGTGGAGCTGTTGGCCGTAGGATCATCCACCTGATTCAATCCCTTTGCTGTACTGAAGAATGTGACTAGATCTCTCCCCCAGATCCTACTGGGTTTTTCTTCTTTCTGAAACAGGTTTTTAACTTCTTTAGGAATCACCAATGTGGCTGTGAGTGGGTTTAAATAAATACTAACTACTCCTCTCTGGGGGCCAATGTAGCGTGTCACTCCTACCCTCTCTTTCTGGGTGAGTTGTGGTCTTTTGTTATGCATTTGCTGTGATCTGCAAACCCAACTGCTCCTGAAATGCCAAGGAATAATTATGTCAGCTTAGAAGCATGTCACGTTCCCCCAGGCTGGTAGCCACTCATGCCCTCCTGGCAGTGACATATTGACTATATTGATTTAATTCTTGTGCTCCATAAATGGGGAGGCTTGTGGAGGTGAATCAGCCAGTAATGATGTTTGTAGGCTAGTCAGTCTTCTACTTCGCTTGCAAGGTTTTGGATTATTTCTTTCTAGAACACACTGTTATAATTTTGAGAATGATATTGAAGAACCTGAAAGTGAGCAAAATCCTCTCATTCTTCCTCTTATACCAAGGGATGCAAAGAGGAGCTTAGAGTCTCATCAGAAATAGGGCTTCAAATGCTACTGGGATTGACCTGCTGAAGCCAGACTGGTGTGATGTCACCATTCTCACAAGGCAAAGGACATGTGAACTCTGCCTGGCGAGAGCTGTCTTCATCTTCTCGTCAAGTGAAAGTCATATTATGATGTTGAGACAGAAGAGTGGCTGTGAAGATCACACAGTGTCTGTGAGTGAGTGTGTGTGTGTGTGTGTGTGTGTGTGCGTGCGCGTGCACGCACACACATGCATGTGAAGGGAGAATATAATGAAATCTCCTTGAGCCAAATCTGTCCTCCTAGTGTCTCATATTTTCTGACTTTCAGCTCTCTAGTTCTCCTTCTTTTGCAATTTAATACCTATGAATCTCCAGCAATGAAGGGGTTCAGCACTTAGGGAGTGGAGAATCAAAGTTGAGATTTTATATCAAGACCCTAAGCTATAGCTTCAATATCTCCCAGAATCAGGTTGTATACCAGCAGGTCACAATAACCTAAGATCTGAAGTCTTGAAAAGAATTTAGAAGAGTACTCCAGTCATTTGCATTTACCCTGAGACATCATTTACAGGGCTTTCAAGTTCTTAGATTATTTGGGCTCCTCAGATGTTTTTCTGAATGTCACTATGTCCTAAAAGGGCAGCTGTCCAGAAATATTTAATATTTCTTCCACCATTAAAGTTGTCTCAAAAAAGAATGGTGTCAAATTTCTAGTTCCTGGGCCCAAAGATTGGACTCATCAACCAGGCTTCTCCATCCCACCAAGCGCTCTGTCTTTTGGAAACCATGAACAGCAGAAAGGGCATAACTTGGTTCAGCTTCCCAGTTGCCAGCTTCCTCTCTGTATGTGATCTGGTACATAGATGACCCCGGCACAATATTCCTTCCTCCCATCTTACCTTCTTAAGAATGCATCTTGTAGCCCTAGGAAGATCCCAAGATTTGGCTGTGGGAAGATTATCTATCTATCTATCTATGTATCTATCTATCTATCCATCATCTATCTGGGATGAATGTTATACATATTCATTCCAAATCTCCACAGTGCATAATGGAACCACTAAATATGTTGCTTATTTGCCATTCTGGGTAGTAGATGGATATTGTCTCCATAGTTTTTTAGTTTCTCTAGTAGTATTAGAATCCAGTGTTAATATACTCCTACCTCTCGCTTGTCTCCATCACCAATATAGTTGAAAATTTCTTGTTTGTTAATTTTTTTGAGACAGGGTCTCACTATGTAGTTCAGGCAGCTTTGAACTCACTATGTAGAACAAGATGGACCTGAACTCAAGGTGATCCTCCTGCCTCAGCCTCTTGTTTTTTAAACAATAGAATCATATCATCTAAATGCACAGGTAGGGAAAATAATTTGACTATAGGTCTAGTACAATGGAGATGGAGAAGAAATAAAACTATAAGACTCAGCCATTTGGTTTGTTTCTGTTTGGGCCCAAAGAAAGAAACTTGCCTTGTGAACTGCTCATTTCCTCTTGTTCCCTTCACCTAAATCTGACAAATGGGTTAAATCAACACCCTGAGCAGCTGGGGTGCCTCTGGGAGTGTGCACCCTCCTCTCCCCCCAGGAGACATGGGAATGTGTCTCTGCAGGGGAGCCAGGGCTCCTGCTGGCTCTGTATGGGAGGAGCCAAAGATGACACACTAGGACCTGGGGACTCCCTTCTCCCCAGAGAGGAGAGCCTGTATTGTTGAAGTGCCCCAAGCCCAGAGACCTAGAGGCTGCTGGGAATGTTTGGGAGAGTATTGGGCAATAGATGAAGGTGAGAGCAGAGAAGTGCTCCTGGGAGCTCCCAGAATAGACTGTTGTTAAATATGAATTGAATATAGGCAACAGCTTAGTACATTTAGAGCAATTTTGTTATAATTTGTTGGCACCCGAAAGGATTTTCACTTTTCCCAAGAGACAAGGGAAGTACTTGTTGTTTAGAGGGATGGAAAGGGAAGAAGCTCATTTTCCTGGAGCCCACTGAGTGATGTCAGCATGCTCACCGACAGGGGAGGAGGAGTGAAGTCAGGCGACTCAGCCCCAGAGGCCCTATCAATGGGCCTCTGGTCAGTCCTGCCTTCCAGGACTACTCTCAGCACAGATCTGTGATGTCTGGGAGAGAAAGTGTGTCCTGGGGCTTGTCCATGTGTCACCGGGCTCCTTCAGAATGTGCCTGCCCTTCTCATTTCCACCCCCGACCCGTTGTTATTGTTTGGGTCTAAGTGGCTCAGCAGGGGAAAAGCATTAGAAATGAAATTATTTTTGTTACATGCTGTATAATTGCCTCCATTCCTTTCTGTTACCCCAGGCGGCAATATTACTAGCAAATCCCTGGGAACCTTGAGTCCTAGAAAGTGGCTTACTCCTGGGCTTCCTTAGAATGGTTGCTTTTGACCAGTGGTTCTGTTCACCAGTCACTCCACTGCTGACCTCATCATCATAACAACCGGTGCTTATCATACACGGGCTGTGTGCAGGGCACTGTGCTCCGCACTTGACATGTACCTTTCCTTTCATTTCCTGATCCCACAACAACTCCATAAAATTGGAGCTTTTATCCTCCCAATTTTGCAGAGGAGAAAGGTTGGGTTTATAGAGGTAAGTGGCTCACCCAAGATCACACAGCTAACGTGCCAGGTAAAGGTTCA